CTAGTGAGGTTTTAATGAGACACATTATCTTTTAATGAACATCCAAGAGGGAGTGTTATAAATATATTATATTATGGATGTTCATTTAGTGCTCTGTTGTAAATAATCTTCCTGAAGAAGCTTATCCATATGGGACTCCACCGTAAATATGTTTATCCATTTAGTACTCTATTGGAAATAAGCTTCCTGAAGAAGCTTATCACTTTGGTACCCGGTTATGGATAAACATTACCCTAGGTAGAAGATTATCCATACTGGGTATAATAAGCTTATCCATTCAGTACTCCGTTATGGATAAACATTGCTCTCAGTAGAAGATTATCCATATCTGGTATAGTAGCAACTTACACAGCAGCTTGCAGTAGCAGCTTACACAGCAGCTTGTAATAGCAGCTTACACAGCAGCTTGCGTAGCAGCTTACACAGCAGCTTCCTTTCTTCTATAAATAGAAGAGATTTCAGTTCATTATGTAAATCAATTTGAATTCGAATAATATATCAGTTTCTCTATACTTGTCTTTACTTTACGGTCTTTATTTTATAACAATATTCACTTTTCCCCGAAATTTTTTCACTTTCTTTCAGAATTCGTGAGCGTTTGGACATAAGAATTGTAAAAAATTTTAAAAAAGTGAAAAAAAAATTCAAATGAAAATGGTATTTGAAAATTAGAGTTGTATTTGGACATGAATATAATTTTGGGTTGTTTTTGAAGTTTTGTTAGTAATCTGAGTGAAAATTTTGAAAAATTACTTTTTGGAGTTTTTCAAATCTTCAAAAAATTTCAAAATGCATCTTCAAGTGAAAATTGGAAATTTTATGACCAAACGTTGATTTCGAAAAAAGTGAATTTTTTTTCAAAAAAACTAAAAAAAAAATATTTATGTCCAAATGGGCTATTAGTGTTTGGCCATGAAATTTTTAATTTCACTTAAAGATGGATTTCAGAACTTTTCAAAAATTTGAAAAACTCTAAAAAACTGTTTTACAAAATTTTCACTTCAAATCACTCACAAAAATTCAAAAACAATCCAAAATTATATTCATGTCCAAACACAACTCTAGTTTTCAAATACCATTTTCACTTAATTTTTTTTCCCCAAAAGTTTACAACTCTTATGTCCAAACGCCCACTAATTATCCGATATCCAATTTCTCCATGATTTTTTTAGGGGTAAACTAGTCCTCAATATAAGAATTTAGGAAAGCACATATCTAACAATTTTTCAACAAATCTTTTTCTAAGAAAAATTCTAACGATATAATACAAGTATTAAAATTAGTTTTATGAATGATCATTCTAACTTTCACTTTTATTGCACTAAAATATTTTTTATACGGAAAGATCACTCAACTTGAGTACTTGACGTAAGACACACACGATTATGCTTGGAGTCATGTCATTGTGAGGGTGAGTGTGTCTAATCTTATTATTGGATTTGTATTTACAACACTACAGTTCCTAAGGAACTTATTCGCATTTTTCTTGTTTTACTTATGGAAATGGGTCCACCACTGGGATATGTTTAAGACGAGATCTCATTCACTTTTCACTAGAGATAATCTTGTGGTATATAGTACAAGTTCATGTATCAATTAGATATTTCTGGATGTGTGACATATGTTTGACAATTAAGTGAGCTCACTCTTTTTTTTTTTTTGGGACCAAGTAAGCTCACTTGATTGCTACAGGTAGAGGTACAGTACGTATTTAAACATTTTGATACGGTATTTTCGGTATTTGATTTTTTAAAATGCTATACCCAATGGTGGATTTATGTATCACATTTGGGGGCTTAAGCACCCATTGACTTTGACAAAGAGTATGTGTAGTTATATTAAAAATTTAACCAAATGGATATAAACAAGGCAGCAAGCACCCAAGTAATGAGAAGTTTGATGGGTGCTTTAGTAAGGAAAGGTGCCGGAAGTTTATGAAAGTGGGGCAACGATCGTTGGATCTCACTTCTAACATGTCCTTTTTAATACAGTAGGTATTTTCCCTATATTATCAAGATTCAAGCTTCTTTCTTTTGCCCCAACTAGGTCTATTTTTTAATTCTTTCCACTAGCCATTATTTTGACACAAATTCTACTTATTTTTTCATTTTTTTGTTGATTTTTGTTTTATGTTCTTTTTTAATTTTTTTTTATCTAATTCAGTATAACAACAAAAGAAAAAGAAAATCTACTTAAAAGGGGACTTCAAACTCATCCCTTTTGAAGACGAACCAGTCTCCTAGAACAGAAATCCATCAATCTCTTTTTCTCGCTAGTTGGCCTTAATCATCATAGTTTCATGATGTCTATAATATTAATACTATGAGTTTTTTCACTATTTTTTTTCATCGTGTTCAAATAATTATGCACTTATACGAAGTGATTTGTAGTACTTTATGTCAAAAAAGTTAAGCACTCACGAATTTAAAATTCTGGATCTACCACTAGCTATACCAATACCGTACCTAATTAAATTCGGTAAGGTTCGATTTTTCTCCTTTCGATTTCGGTTTATTCGATTCGCTAACTTCGGTTTATTCGGTTTGAATATTAACTAGTGTATAGAGTTATGGACAGTAATATTCTTAATTAAAGTGCTCGAAAGCACAAAACTAAAAATATTTGTTGATAAAAGTTTTGTCCAAAACCAACAAATACCAACCCAGAAAGAGAAAACTGTACATAAAAGAATAAATTTGATCATTAGAAATGTCTTGTTACTTGCTTAGAGTTAATTGATGAATTTAGAGAATAAATAAAAGTAAAATTTTAGATTTTTTATATTTATGTTATAACTGATAATATGTGTATTTTGTAATATAATATATATTTCGGTGCAGTATCAGTATTTGAGTATTTTATTTTAAAATACCAAATACCATACCTAATACTAATTTTGTTAAAAACTTAAACCAAATACCATACCGCATACCAAATACCAAAATTTTCGATTTCGGTATTTACCAAATTATGCATAGCCCTAGCTACAGGCTGTAATAATTAAAACTAGAGCTTCAAGTGCAAAAGCAGGCAATTATATTATAAACTTTAAGTGTCTCTCTTTTAAAATCAAATAAATTTTACTACCTACACCAAGATGGTGTTTACTATACATATAATGGTAGACAAATGAAAGTGAAGAAGTCCTAAATAATCGACTTGTTTGCCACGCGGACAATCACGAAATCTCCCCTCTTTGCCCTTTGGTTACATAAAAAAAGATAAAACTTTTTTTAGATTGAACCAATTTGATGAATCACTCTTATAGATTGACTAATAGTGTTAGTTCACCTCAAATTAGTGTTAGTTGACGAAAATTACTTCGAAAATAAATAAAATTTGTCTAGGATATTACCTCTGTTCGATGACTTGACGATCAAAACAAATTTGGATAGAACTAATAACCGGGTTTTAAAGGAGCCATTAAGCTTATGTTTTCAATCATAAGAGGCAGAGTGTACTAGGAACTACTTTTTTGACTGATTGGCTGAACATATAATAGAACTGATAGATCAATGTTGGCAAAGGCCATTGTTGGTTCTTTTTTACTCTGATACAATGTTGATTCTGTTTGGCTTTATATAATTTGGTCTACTAATATGAATTCTTTGTTTATGAAATAGGACAAGACTATTTTGCATATCTTGACTGAACGAAATTGCTTCACGTATCAATTTACCAAAACAGGTTGCATCACTAATGGAATAATTCAGAATATTTTGCGTTGCGAATCCTCTTCATCTACTTTTACAGGATTGGAGAGCAGTGGATAAACATGCTTTTCTTGTATATAATAACCATTGAAATTGATAAGATCTATCATCCGACAACAGAGAAAGGCAAATAAATATCACTACAAACAGAAGGTTACAATTGCTGCAGCCAGTCAAAACAAATTCTGGTGTTTTTCATCTTTATTGTATAAGAAAGAATGTAAAATGATTTTCTTGGTCCATCGAAAAACACAAATTGCAGCTGAAATAATGTTTATCACTATTCTTTCCTTTATCAATTCCTGTAGTAATTACATCTCCAGTTACCGTCCCCAGGCACGGGCGAGAAGCAGCTTCTTTAATTGTCAGATACCTTAAAAAATGTGTATGATAGGATTATATTGTTGATGCCATCCATTTTGGGGTCGGTTTCAAACTCAGGATCAATGTAAAAGAAAACCTACAAATGCAAGTTGATTATTTGTTAAATGGTAGGAACTAGGAACACAGGGATTGAAGTAATAATCTTCAGGCAATGAAAGCTGATAGGTTACTTACAGGCATGTCAATCTGCTCCCCGGGAAGCAATTTCTGTTCCTCAAAGCAAAAACACTGAATTTTATTGAAATACACAGCAGCCTGAAGAGAGAGATTATGTTTCCCATTAGAAACTTTGATGTAAGTGCCTATATGGATACATAGTACTGCCCTGCAACTAATCGAAAAAATAATACTTCATTGCACCATGTCGCACTAAAGAAAATCAAACAGTATTATGCCAACGTGTAGTGGAAGCAACTAGATTTAAATAAACTCCTTTCTAAAATAGCTTAAACACTTTGCAAACAGCGAGTTGATTGTTAAAATGAAATTACAGAAAAGTAAGTGACATTACATTCCTCCTTAGACGTACAACCAAAACCAAAAGGATTTTCCATATAGCCATATACTGACTAGAAAAGGAGATATCATGAGACTAAAACCTAGACTGAAGAGTAGGTTAAAGGAAGTATAGGCACCTTAATGATCAAGGTCTTTTATTGTTGGAGATATTATTAAATAAAGAAATGTTCCTTATCATAAAAATAATTAAGCAAAGAAACGTTTATTTTCTCTAATAGCGTAAGCTTTTAAATGAGGTGGTCACTATTGCATGATATCAAAGCAGGCAAGACGTCCTGCATTCAAAGTTCACTGCCATCCAAAAACCAAAACGAATTTTCATGTGCTTGGCCAAATAGGAAAGAATAAGGCTCACTTTTGAGGCAGCAGAAGATACAATTAAGTAAAGAAAAGTGTACCCGCTATAGTAGCATAAAGTTTTTAGATGAGGTGGTCAAACAATTCGATTTTACTATATAATACATCTACATAATGTTAAAGAATACGTCAATATTTACCATTCTCCACAAACAAAAAAAAAAGGTGAAGTTAAAGAATACAATGATGAGCCTTCACAAGTTTACTTATCTGTTTCAATTCCGAACTGGAACTTCCAGCAATAAGAGCTTCAGCATATTCCTTCAGCTCTTTAGTTAGCTAATTCGAACGAATCACACTCTTCACTAAAAAAAATAGCTAAAGGTCTTTGTTTTTTTCACCTTAAGGAGATAAAGCTCCAGGGCATGACGGTTTTAATATGGCCTTTTCTCAGAAGTGTTGGCATATATTAAGGGAGGACATCTTCAAAACTTTGGCGAAAGTTTACCATGAAGAAAAAATTGGAGAAAAGCTCTAATGCTACATTTATTACTCTAATCCCTGAGAAGAAAGGAGCTGTGGAAAGTGGAAACCAAGAATTTCAGACCTATTAGCTTGTTGGGCAGCATATATAAAATTATCTATAAAGCGCTCACTGAAAGATCAAAGCTGGTTATCCGGAAACTTGTGACTAGCAACCAAATGCATTCATCAAAGGAAGTTGCTGCTGACGCAGTGTTGGTTGGTAGTGGTCGCCAATGAATGCCTTGACCATTACCAAAAAAAATAGGGGTAATTTGAAAGTCAGATATGGAAAAAGCTTTTACCAGTGTAAACTGGGATTTCTTATTCAGGCTGTTAGAATTTGGAGCTAAATGGATAAATTGGTTAAGGTACTGTATTACAACTGTTAGAATTTCTGTTATCATCAATGGTGCACCTAACGGTTTCTTCCCTACTCAGAAGGGTTTGAGCCATGGAGACCCATTGTTGCCATGTTTTTTTATACTTGCCATGGAAAAATTTAGCTTAACGCTAAAAAAGGCTGCTGAATTAAAATGGTTAGAGGGTTTCATTATTGAAGACAAGAATGGTTGTAAAATGGGGGTGTCTCATATCCTTTATGCTAATGACAAATTTGTGATGTGTAAGGCAGATCAAAGTCAACTTCTGCATCGTAAATCAATTCTCTTGCTTTCGAAGCCATATCTGGACTACATGTGAATCGGGGAAAGAACAGTATTTTTTGTCAATGCTGAGCATGTCGTTCAGAAGCTGGCTGCTATCTTAGGTTGCGAGGTTGAAGCATTTCCTTCTACATATCTTGGCATGCCATTGGGTTCTAGATATAAAGATGCCAATGTATGGCAAAGTGAGAGAAAAATGCGAAGGAATCTTGCACCTTGGAAAAAACAAAAAATCTCCTTTGGTGGCAGGTTGACTTTAATCAACAGTGTGCTGGATGGTATTCCCTCATACATGATGTCCCTGTTTCCCATGCCTACAAGTATGGTCAGGCAGCTAGATAGGCTAAGAAGAAATTTCTTGTGGGATTGTAATCAAGAAAAAAGAAATTTCACCTGGCGAACTGGGAAACTGTTATGACTGACAAGAAATATGGAGGCTTGGGGGTCAAAATATAAAGCTGCAAAAAGAGTGTGTTCCCTAAATGGCATTGGTAAGACCTATGCCAACAACATGCCTTCTGCTACCTAATGAGTGAATGTGAAAATTAAGTATGGTCCTACTGGGGTGACTATGCTATGAAGATAAGGCACATCACCGTTTTGTTGCCATTTTTGCTAATCTATCCAGAATAATGTGATTTGATACAAGGATAGAACTACAAAATATATAACATTCGACTGCCAACGTAAGGGTAGAAAAACGGTATATACTGTTTCAAAGAGGGTGGCGACATGGGATCTCATCCTTCACTTCAATGGTGGAGACAGGACTTTTACTAGAGGGAGTCAAAATATAAAGAAGTAAATGTACAAGGAAGCCAAGGGAATTCAATGTGTGTATATATATATATATATATACATACATAAAAAAATGTACCTAGTTACACAAATGTAATTTTCCGGCGAAGGGGTGTCAACTCTTAGGACAAAGATTCACTTCCCACTTTCAGGTAGCTACTTAGTTTGGCCATGCAGGATTCTGTCCTAGTAGCCATATGCTCCTCTTTTTTCTTTTTTTCTTTTCTTTTTTTCTGGGGGGGGGGGTATGTTAATTAT